AGGATGTATGGCACCAGCAGATGGAGTAATGGTTATGTTGCTGGACTTCCACATAGTAGATGTCGGTTCGAGCCATGGACCTGGTGGCTTAACCCTTAAACTTCACATCCCAGAATATGCCAGGCACACTTTTTCCCATGATCCAAGGCTGGCTAAAGACTGGGGGTGAATCACTGTATCAAGATTTGATTGAGGTGGCTGTCTCTATGTCTCTCACTTGCTCATGGAATAAATAAATAAACTTTTAATAAAAGGACATATCTGATAAGTGACTATTATCAAAAGAATACAAATAACTCTTAAAACTAAATAATAAGACAAATATCTCAATTTTAAAAAGATGCCAAAGACATTAATAGATACCTCACCAAAGTATACAGACAGTACACAAGCACATGAAAATAAGCTCCACATTGTATGTCATCAGAGAAATACAATTGAAACAATGAGATACTACCACACACCTATTACAAAGGCCAAAGTATGGATATTGACTATACTAAATGCCAATGAAAATGTGGAACAACAAGAATGCTCAATGACTGCTGGGATAAATGCAAGATGGTAGTCACTTTGGAAGACAGTTTTATGGCTTCTTACAAAACTAAAATATTTATCATACAGTCCACCAATTAAAATCTATGGCATTTATCCAAAAGAGTTAAAAACATGTCCAGCCTAGCCAGCAGTATGGTGGTTAAGGTTTGCTGAATCCCACATAGTCAACTGTGCAGTTTAAGTCCCAGACTCAGTAGCTTGAAAAACACATCAGAGAGGCAGCAAGTGGTGTGGCAATTAAGATGCTGGACTCCCACATGGCGACCGTGGTTCAAGTCCCAGACCTGACAGCTAGAAATTCACGCTGGGCACATGTGCATGCCCAAAATCCCAGGAGAATGGAGGAGAAGGAATTATGGCACAGTCATCCTCCTGAGAGTATTTCTCACTTTCCCTCACTGTCCCTCTGTATCTCGAGTGAGTACACGCACCCTATAGTCAAAATCTTAAAAGAAAACACACACATCAGGCGCACGTGTGCCCAAAATCCCAAAAGAAAAAGAAATGGAGAAGGGGCTAGATCATGACTAACCCCTATGGAGGGAGGGGTGCTTTTTCTCTGTCTCTCTCTGTCTTTCTCTCTCTGTGTTGCTCTCCAGTAAGCACCCAGTCTCTCTAGCAAATTTAAAAAAAAAAAAAAGTCCACACAAAAACCTGCACATGGATGTATATAACAACTTTATTCATAATTGCCAAAACTTGGAAGCAACCAAAATGTCCTTCAGTGCATGAATGAATAAATAAATTGTGGTACATTTATATAACAGAATATTATTCCACAATAAAAAGAAGTTATTGGGCCAGCAACACGGCCTAGTGGTCAGAACAGCCAGATCCCACATAGCTGACAGAGCAGTTTGAATCCTGGACCCAGAGACTTGAGAAACATCCTGGGCATGTATGGCCAAAACCCCGACAGGAGGGAGAGATGGAAGAGAAGAGACTGCAATTTGACCACTCCCCACTGGGCATGGGGATGCTTCTTCCTCTCCCTCTATCTGTCTCTCTCTAGCAAGTACACACACTCTCTACAAAGAGGGAAAAAAAAAAAACAACAAAACAGTGAGCTATCAAGCTATGAAAAGATGGCGGAATCTTAAATGCATATTTTGAAGTGAAAAAAGCCAATCTGACAACGTTACACACTAAATGATTTCAAATAGATTATATTTTGGAAAAGACAAAACTAAACTATAGAAACAGTGTATAGATCAGTGGTTTCCAGGGGTTGTGAGGATAGAGGGAAGGTTGAAGAGGCAGTGAAGCATAGAGAATTTTAGGGCAGTAAAAATACTCTATACAGAGGACTGTAGATGTCATGGTGTTTAAGGGCACTAGACTCCCACATGGCCGATCGCAGTTCAAATCCCAGACCTGGTGGCTTGCTTTCTTGCTTTCCATCTCTCTCTCTTTCTTCCTCTGTCCCTCTATGGCCAAATTAAAATAAATCAATAAATAAATAAGGTTAAATAAAAAAATAATTCATTAAAAAATACTCTATACACTATAAAAATTGAGCATGTTATTATACATTTGTCCAAACCCAGAGATCATATATCACTAAGAGCGAGCCCTAGCATAAACTACAGACTGTGGCAATGTGTCAATGTAGGTTCACCCCTTTTAACAAATATGCCATTCAGATGGGAGTGAGGGAATCTATGCACATCTAGTAGCAGGAAATAAATGGGAAATTATTAGACCTTCATCTTAATTTTACTGTGAACCTAAACCTGCTCTAAAAACAAGCAAACACACTGCTAGAGAACATATAAGAAAACTTTAACAAAAGTTTTAGGAAGAGAAGAGTCATTCTGAAGGTGTCAATTTCCCCTAAGATGATTTATAAATTTAATGCTGGCAGGATTTATATAGGCAGACAAAGAAACTGAAGTAGTATGATATGGGAAAGAAGGAAAAAAGATGAAGGATTAACTCAAATATCTAGTTTTGCTGACTGTTTACCAAATTAACTATCTCCAAATACAAATTTCACCTAAGCACTATATAGAAAATCCTCTTTGCCATCTCTAGTCTACCTCCCTACATTATACAAAAGCCACACATTGGTTTCTACGTATGCTTACATGCCATAAATTTGTCTCTCATCCACTAGAACATTCTCTCAAATACTAATCTGATCCCATCACTTACCCACCTTCCACTCAATGTTGAGTAGTCATTTGCTAAGGTGGTCAATTGGGACAATGGGTCAACCTAAGAGTAACAATTAAGACTCATTCTTGGGACCAGCAGTTAGCATAATGGCTATGTCACTGGACTCCCATGTAGTCAACCACAGTGATTTCTCGCTTTCTGTCTTTCCAGCGAGCACACGCCCCCCAAAGCAAAAACCTCTAAAAAGGAAAAAAAAAAAAAAAAAAGATTCATTCTCGTTCTGTGACAGTAGGTGAGTTACCAGCTGCACAATGTCGTCTTTTACATCCTGTGGAATGGCAACAGGCAAGGGTCTGATAGATGCAGTACAGAAAAAGGAGTCGCCCCATTCCAGAGAGCCCCAAACAAAAGGCCCCTGACGCTTTATGACCTGGTAGACTTGGGGGAAAAAAAAGGAATCAGGACTCAATGTAGAGAAAAGTGCCTCAACTGAAGATTCCCATAAAGGAGATCTTAGCAGAAGCACCTGAAAAATGCCTTAGCCAAAGTCTCTGATAGGAGGCTTCAAAATGGAGGCACCTGGGCTAGGAATACAGCTATAGCTATGTACATGAGCTGGCCTAAAAGACTAGGTCAGGGAGAGGCCCAAGTCTTAGACCTCAATTTTCTCCAGAAAATTGCAACGTACAAGCTGTGCACCAAGTCTGGCAGGGTGAGGGCACCTTCCATCTGAGGGGTCTACCAAGCAAAGCCCTATAGTCAGGCCTGAAAGATCACACAAGGATTCTGGTAGGGAGCTGGACTCTTCAATGGCTATCTAAAAACCTAAACTTCTACGTAGGAAAAACAAAGATCCCCTTCATCTGACCCCATACCTCCTTCTCTATTCTCATCTCTTGCTTCACATTTTATACTCTAGCAAAACTACCCTCTCCAAAGTATTCCTATCCTCTCTACCATTGCTGGACAGTCTCCTCTTTCTCCACCTCTACCTTCTTCACCAATCACTTATCCTTAAAGACTTATTCCAACAACAACAACAACAAAAAAAGACTTATTCCAACAGTCACTTCCTCAGGAAGTCCTCCTAATAAATATCTACCTTCATTCTAATCATGAGTTACTAGTCCCTTCTCTATGGCTCCGTTAACCCTTTGCATACAGAGTAGAAGTATGTATGCCCACTGCCACATATACTTTCTGTTTCTGTATCTGTCTCTGCTACAAAATACTAAATTCCCAGAAGTCATGTCCTATTCTGTTTTATATCCCCGACACCTAACAAGTGTCTGGCACACAGCATGAACATGGAAACAACCTACTGGTGGGATCTGTACTCTATAAATTAGTATTAATATAGCACTAGGAATAGGACACTACCACAGCAGGACTGAATGAGACAGGGCCCACAGGCTCACCGGTTCAAATGACAGGGCCTTCAGCACTGACAGCCTCTCCATATCTAAGGCAAGACTATTTCAAAACCACTTTGTCATCAAGTTTTCCAATATAGACCCACTCCAGTTTCCATCCTGGAAACTTAAAAATAGATAAATTCACTCTCCCACTCAGTAGTCAGGTATATGCTTGAACTATCGGAACTCTTTCTGCACTTACTGAGCCAGCACAGAGCCACAAACTCCAGAGAAAGAATGCAGGCTGGGGTAAGAATGAAGCAAGTACTTTAAAAATCCTAGTGAGAATAACAAAGATGAATTTATCTGCTTTAGTCAGAATGATTATGTCCCCTCAAAATTCACATTGAAATCCTCACAATGTAATGAGATTAAGAGGTGATTAGATCTTGAGGACAGAGTCCTTATGAAAGATACCCCAGAGAATACTTGTATGCCTGTGAGGACACAAGGAGAAGATGGCTATCTATGAACCGGGGGACCTAATCCAACACCAAATCCCCTAAGCACCTTGATCTTTTACTTCCCAGCCACAGGAACTGTGAAAAATAAATGTCTGTTGTTTACAGGCAACCCAGTCTGTGGTATTTTGTTATAGCAGCCCAAACAAACTAAGACATCTGGTAAAATCTTTCCTCCACTAGTAGAATCAAAAGCAATTACACGACAATGTGGTCTTACTAAATCATTTACTACTTTTATACAAAGTATCAGCATATTTTTTTATCCTTTGCCATTAAACAAATTTTGGATCCTCAATGTGGCAAGACAGAGTAGTAATTTCTGTAAAATTGATGCCTACAAATACAATATTAAACCCTAAAACATATTAATGGCTTGTGATTGTCAAAAATGAAATCAATAGATAAGTAACAATAATCAAGTGAATGGGCACTCCCTTGTACTTACAAGAGAACGTGAGCAACGATGGCATTCACATCAAACAAGGTGTCAGTAGGGAATTCTCTGAGCAGTATGTTGCCCCTATAAAAAGTTTAAAAACACATTACAGAAATATTTCCTTAGAATTCAAGCTATTTGTCCATTTAATACATTAGGTTATAAATTCTTTGAGGTTAAAGCCTGTGTCTTGTCCATGTATCTATTAGAGTGCTGGCAAACAATAAACTCTCAGATGTTTGTTGAATATATACTCAGTTCATATATTGACTTTGAAAAGCTTAGGTTCTGGAGCTGGCAAAATGACAAGATATGAGTCCAAGTAAGGCTTTTCCTACCAACTTCCCACTATGCACTCACAGATTCCCCAAATCGGGCTGGAAAGGAGGCAAACAGGAGAGAGAGGAAGAAGTGTCCTTGGCAGTAGGTCCCTGATACAAGATCCCTCCCCACAATGTCAGGCCAAATCCCAAGGTTTTGAGAAAAGGATCTGAGAAACTTCTGAAAAATTAGCAAACTTAAGTGCAAAGGAATCGGTAACCCAGGCATCGGCAGATCCTTCAAAAATAAAGTATTGTCCATTTATGTCACACTCAAATATGAACCAAACATGTCCACTAAGAACACTAAATTTGCTAAGCTCCAGGCATTTGTAATAGGAGTTTTCTGTAAGAGTCTCACATGATATTCAAAAGAACCCTGTGAGGCAGGTGTTATCCTCCTCATTTCATAAACAAGGAAGGTGAAGAGCAGAGAGGTTAGGTAACAAATCTATTGCTTGATCTTTTTGCTAAGCTTCATATGATTCCCACTATAGGTAACTTTATTCAGGCTTAGTGATATTTTATGTACTTGAATATTTCGGAAATATAGCTTTATATTTGCCCATCACTCTTTAAAAAAAAAAAGAAGAAGAAGAAGAAAAAGAAAGAAAAAAATAGTTTACCTGAACAAATATGCTTTCATCGAGTCCTTTCCTTTTCCACAATATTTTGATGTTTCTTCTTTGATACAATTAACCTTTAAAAGATTACATTTAAGGTTTAGGGTATATATCAAACTGTTAAGTTTTTTGGCAGAGGGAACAAGAAGGAGAATTAAACATTACAGCTATTCTCCAGGTCAAAATTTGTTTATTTTACTTCTTTTCTGATTTATATGCTCACTCATTCAAATGTATGAGGTAACCCAGAGAAAAGAACTGTTTCTGCACCTAAGAGTGTATTTAATTATATCTAAGAATGTATACTTAATTCAATCATACAGAACAACTAGAAGTAACTAAGTAGAAAAGAAAAGGCACACTCAAGACAGGAAACTGTAAGCAGAAGTCAGGAAATACAGAAATGTGTGATGAAGTTGGGACCATGAAACATTTTAGCAGCTAGAACACAGACATGGCAGACAGTGCTGGTTTCCTACCCACATTCCATCTTCTTTTGTTCACTAACAGAGCTTTATTAAAAGCAAGTGCCCATTAAAGTCTTGTCCAGCACCACCCCCCGGAACAGATGGGAATGACCAAATGGTATTAGGAATAGTCAAGGAGTTGGAATTCCTAGAAGGCTGTTAAAAGGGACCTGACTGTGCTCCAGCTCTTCCCACTTCTTGACCCAAATCAGACAAGCTGATCAGATGCAGGTAGCAATCATGGACCACAAGGCACCTTTAAAAAAGAAACTATTGTACTTGCGGAGGACGGTGCAACAGAAAAACTGAACCTGAGTCCCATATGATGTTAGAGCAGCCACCTCAGCAATGGATAGCTTATAATCTAAACTTTCTCTCTGAATAAAATATAAGGCGAATCCTGGTAGCAACACGAAGCTAAAATAGAAGGCAAAAGAACACAGAGATAAGGAGGTAAGTTAAGAGAATATCACATTAGTATGGATCAGGGAAGATTGAGACCTGAAGTAAAGCTCAAAAAGCCAGGAGACATACAAGAGACTTTTCAGAACTACAGTAAGCAACACTAGGGAGAAGACTGAAGGTATTCAAAGTCTGGGAACACAGAGGGGAGAGGAAAGAAAAAAAGAGAATGAAGGCATTAAGGCAAATGGGTAGCGACCAATGTTGCTAACTGAAACTAAGGCTTAAGAGAAAAAAAAAAAGTTCTTTAGTTTTGGATTTGGCAAACTTTTTGTTTGCTTACTTTAAGATGTTTGTTTATTTTAAGGTTTTCGGTGTTCAACTTAATTTTAATAGAATTTGAGGAAGCAGAATGACAACTGGGGAAGTGACATTTATTTTAAGAGCTATAAAAGAAGAAATGACACTCAGTAAAGATATCAGGCAAAGAGAACAGAATTAAGAGTCAGAGTACAGTCACAATTAAAAAGTGAATTTTAGTGTATATAACTTTAAATTATTTTTAAATGTCAGAACACAAGGTTGACATTATGACAATGTACCCACCCATTCACCCATTCAACATATATTTGCTATGTCAGTCACTCTTCTACTCACTGGGAGTTCAGTCAAGTTCCAAATACAAATCTTTCTTTTAGGACTTACATTGTAAAAATAGAGACAATTTTTTTTTAAATGTAGTAAGTGCTATAAAAGACCAAAAGGGGATACCACGTGCTAGGACATTTTAGATAGATAATCAGGGAATACTTCCCTGAGGAGGTAACAACTGCACAAAGAACTGAAGTAATGGAGTGATGCATATGAATACATAAGTATGTGAAAGAGATGAGTTCTGAGCAGCAGGGCAACACCTGTAAAGGCCGTGTGGTAACAGTATCCCCAGCAGGTGTGTGTAACAGAAAGATGACCAGTACGTATCAGGATCATGAAACTCAAGAGTTTTGATTTTATCATAACTAAATGGAAAACCTTTCCTAGCAGGGTAGTAATGTATCCTGGCACATCTCTGACTATATACAGAAAAGAGTTTGAGCATAGGGAGTGTGAGAGAAGAAAGGCCAATTATTACAAGGTTACTGTAGTTTCCCAAAAGAGAAGTAATGAGAAGGAGAGGTAAAAGTGAAGGTAAAGAAAGTGGTCAGCAGAACCTAGTAGTGGATGGGTTGGTTATGAGAAAGAGGAAAGTCAAGGGTGATTGAAAGGTTTTTGGTTTTAAAATCTCTTTTGATATGGTAAAATAGTAAAATCTCTACCAGATTCATTTATCACTTGTATGATATAACTCTTTCCTTCATTTATCTTGAGTACTTCTGAAGCCTTTATTTTAGATGCATTTCTAAAAAACATACAGGTGGATTTGGTTATTGTCTCCAGCATGACATTCTTTGTCTAAACTGGAACATTTTTAGTCCATTTATATTTTAGTGTTTTCTTCATCCACTGCTACCTCCTATAATCTTAACATTTTTAAAATCCAACATATTGAAAAATAATCTGAAGCTATCTTTCTGTGCTTCTGCTTATTCTTACGAAAAAAAAAAAAAGATGACAAAATAGATTTCTGATTTTAGGGGAAAAAAAAACATGAAACCAAAGTATTTTTAGACACTCAAATCTTTTTTAAAAAAGAATTATTTAATTTTATTTATTTATTTATTTATTTTTAACTTGCTATAGGGCACATACACACACACCCCCAGAAAGAAAGAGAGAGAGAGAGACAAGGTGAGCCACCAGTTCTGAAATTCAAACCATAGTCAGACATATGGGAGTCCAGCGCCTCAACTACCACCCTACCTGCTGGCTCCTAGATATTCAATCTTAAGCCATACATGTACATTGCAAAATGTTTATCGATAATATTTTACTAACATAAATGTCTTTCTACCTTTGCAACTGAAATTCCATAGTCCTGGAGAGGTCTAACAGCCTGATTCAGTTCTTCCAGAAATATAGAGGTACTGGGAGAATCTAAAATAAGATATATTTTAAGAATGTTTATGAATTACTGCTTAAAACAGATTGATTTTAAAAATTAAAACAAAAATGAACAAACACAGAAGAAATATATTCATTTTTCCAACTGACCTGCAACAAGTAATTAAGTAACTAAATTCAACTAGTTACATATTTCATACCTTTATTTTCTTATTGTCTTATTATTATTTTTAAAGTTTTTATCTGCTATAGTTTAAGTGTGTTAAGTGACCTTAAATGCTTCCTAAAAAATAAGAGCCTGATAAATAAATGTTTAATTTAAAGCTAACGTGTGGCACTATACTTTCAAGATTAATATCATATACATAACATGCACATAACCCATATGCAAACTTTCAAAATGATTTTAATATGCTACCTTAAAGTTATAATAAGGGAGCCAATAGAAATGCGGGTTCACTTCACTTACTCATTTCAAAAATAGTGCTTTTACGACAAGAAATTTAAATAAAACCATCACAATTATTAGTTAAGCTCAATAGTTATATGTATTAATTCAGTGTAATTAATGATACAGTTAAAGCAGAGCAGTAAACTTGAGGCCAGCAGATGGCGTAGCAGTTACATCACTGGACTCCCACATGACCAACTGAGGTTTGAGTCCTGGATCTGGTGGCTTGAAAATCACACCAGTCACATGTGCATGAGTGCCCAAGATCCCAGGAGAAGAATAGAGGAGAAGGGATTGCAGTGTTGCAGTGTGGTCATCCCCCCTGGGGATTATTTCTCACTTTTCTTCTCCCTGTCTCTGTCTCTGTTTCTGTTTCTCTCTCCTCAGCAAGCCCTAAGGCAAAAACCTTAAAAAAAAAAAAAAAAAAAAGCAGAGGGTAAACTAAAAGATTTAATAATACTACATTTAAATTTTTAAAAAAACTTTAAAATATTTATATGCTAAAAATATGACAAAGTATACTTTAAGAAATTACTAGATTGGGTTAGCCCTTGGTAATGGTGGTTAAGGCTGATAGATCTCACACGGCCAACTGTATAGTTTGAGTCCCAGACCCAGCAGCCTGAAAAATACACAGGCATGAGTGTGTGCATGCCCATAGTCCCAAGAGGAGAATAGAGGAGAGGGACTGTGGTACAGGCATCCACCCTAGAGAGTGCTTTCTTTTCTCCTCTCCTCTCCTCTCCTCTCCTTTGTTCTCTCTTTCTCCCTCTCTCTGGCAAGCACATAACCCCTATAGCAATATTTTAAAAAGAAAAGTAAAATTACTAGATAGATAATATTAAATATTATATTAGTAGCTAATTTTTAGCCAACATTTTATGATGTACTAAGCATATGAATAAATTAATTAAATTCTCACAACAAACTCAAAATGCTATTTCCTCATAATAGGTAACAAAAGAAGCACATAGAGAAGCTAAGTGACTTGACCAACATCACATTACAGGCTAAATAGCAGTCTGGATTCAAACCTTAGGCAGGCACATTATACTAACAGCTTTCTAGCACATATGATTAATCCCTACAGTAAGGGCTCACTGTGTGTACTGATTAAATAGCAATACAAACAGCCTAAGAATTACATTAGAATTTTTAAATACTTACCAGCTTGACAAAAATAAGCTAACGAGGCTTTTCCTGGTTGCAATGTACTGAAGTATTTCTGAGGACTCACTTCTTGTAGAGAGTGTACAGGTGACTTGTAAAAAATGCACATTGTGACAAAAGAGATCCCAACTCTAAATGCGTTGAGGCTGGAAGACATCATCAGCTATGTGAGCAGGGGATTTTGTCCGTACTCTTCACTGTGTGTTCTGTTGCCTAGGACAATACCTGACAGAGATAGTCAAAAAAGTTTTGTTGAATTAATTTGTTAAATGAATGAACGAAGTAAAATCTGCAAAAAGTTAAGTCACTACTTACGTTTGATTTTGCTAGTATTTTACTATTTCCTTTTACTAAAAGTTTGAGGGTGAATGGTATATAACGACATTGATTTGATAGTATTATTGATTTTGATACCTTCAAAAGATATCAAAGATATCACTTAACTAAGTATTTTAAGTTTTAAAGATACTTACTGGATTACATTAAACTAATTATCATTTTGGTATGCAAAATTAATTCTCAAACATCCAATCCAATTTTTAAATTGGGTATTTTATCTTTCTCTACCATTGCTGACTTACAATAAATACTCAAATAATTATTTAGTATCATCAACATGGGAGACAGCCAAAATATATTATCTAGTATGCTCATTTTCATCTTATTTTAAGTCCCCTAGAAGATAGCTATTAAAATCTTATAAAAATATCCTGGTTAAATATACATATTTTTAACTGTTTCTTTTTTTTGGCAGGGGAGTTAGGTTTTTACCATAGGATACATACACACTAGAGAGAGATAAAAAGAGGGAAAGTGAGAAATCACCCACTGGGAGGATGGCCACACCTCAATATTTCCTCCTCCATCTTCCTCTTAGGATTTTGGGCACACATACACAAGCACCTGGAGTTATTTTCAAGCCTCCAGGTCTGGGATTGGAACCACTATCCGGCCATATGGGAATCCAGTGCCTTAGCCACTATGCCACCTGCTGACTCCTTTAACTGTTTTTTAATTGACACACAATAATTACACTTACTTATTGGTTTCAGTTGATGATTTGAAGCATGTATAAAATATGCAATTATCAAATCAAGGTATTTAGCATAACCATTATTCTAAATATTTATCATTTCTTTGTATAGGAAAGATTTTAAACCCTCTCTTCTAAGTATTCTGAAATATACAATAAATGAACTATAATCATCTTACTGGGCTATAAAACACTTAATCTTCCTATTTCTATTTCTGTACCCATTAACCAAACCCCATCCTTGGCCCACTCTGCTTACCCTTCCCAGCATCTGATAATCACTATTCTACTATCAACTTCTATGAGCTCAATGTTTTTTAGCTTCTGCATATGAGTGAGAACATCCAGTATTAAGTCTTTCTGTGCCTGGCTTATTTCACTCAACATAATGTTCTCCAGAATCATCCACGTGGTCACAAATGGCAAAACACATATTTTTCAGTGCTTAAGATTAGATTTCTTTATACCATTAGGAATCGGAATACCTTTTTCAATTTATATTTGATTCAATTCTATTTTCTGAACTCAGATTTGTTCTAGATATCCTCCTCTCATCTTTTTCCCTGATGTACTTACTTCATGCCGTCCTCTGTATTGGCTTTCAATTCTCTTTGTCTTCTATTTTGCTACTTTCAAATTACTCAAAAAAAAATTTTATTTAACAACTTCAGAAGTTTTTCTACTGATAATTTATATTACCCAAGTTTAAAATAAGATAGTATAAAAAAATTAGCATAGAAAAAATACCATATTTCCAGAAGGTAAGGATACATCCACAAAACAGGTGAGAATTTTGTTTCAATTTTGTTTTTAATTTCTATAAGACCCATACCTTTTAAGTGCAAGATCACTGTCTCAAAATAGGTGACAGAAAAATAACAGCAAAAATGATTTTGTGTATTTATAAAGGCATTTTAATGAAAAATGAAATAATATTAAAAATTAAAAATTATGGACAAATATATTAAATTGGGTATTTACTCTAGTAACTCACTATTAACAATAAGCACATAACAGCTTTCCCTAACAAGCAGGTATGCCTAAAAATGGAGCTAGTAACTCACTGCTTACTTCCTAATAATTCTGTTCATTAAAGAAAGTTATGTCAAACGGGAACCAATTTGCCATCAATTTTTAACAATGAGTCAAAAGCTCAAATGAGTAAAGTAAATTGAGGAGAACAATGAGAAGTACATAAAAACATAATGATATAATTAAGGGGTATCCCTGACATTCAAATTGATTATACATTATAGCCATTTTAACCTGGCTATTTTAAAACCACTTTATATTAACAGAGATGTTTTAAAATAGGCCACCACTATTTTCTTTATGCTCTAGAGGAAAATGCAGATATTACCAAGAGAATAACTGTGTAATACTCATTACTATATGAAACGGTCATAACCCAATTAAACTACAAAACATTAAGCACAACTGAAAGACTCAAGCATAGAATACTATTTTTTTCTGGCCTTGAGGTTATGATTAAATTATTTTTAAGTTTTTATTGATTTATTTCTTCCATGAGCAAGAGAGAGAACAATCTCAACACAGTCTTGACACTGTGAGCCACCCTCAGGCTTCAGCCAGCCCTGGATCATGGGCAAACATGCTTGCCATACTCGGCAAGGTCTCGTGACTTGAACTCAGAACCTTCTCATGTGGGATTATCTCGCAGAGGGTTGCAGTTTACTGCTGTACCATTTTTGGTCAATTCAAAATTTTTAACACTAAATAGGAAATTACTATTAACATAGCATTCTTTTCCCCCAGAATGTATTTTGTAGCACCAAAACATCTAACTGCACATTTAATGCTTGAATACGTTTTGCATCCATCTCATTGAAAAAATGAGATTACAAATGTGAAAGTACTGTGCATTTGGTCAATTGAGAGACACTGGTGATTATTCTTATGTAGTATTAGTGAGAAGAAATCAGTGGTACTCTCAGCAGTTTGTTACATCTTTGATGTGGTTATTTTAAAAATTACGTGTAGAGACTACAACATGGGTCAACCAGAAATAGAATTTATTTCTTCCTAATAAATACTGAATAATTATTTTTGTTTTTGTTTGCTATAGGTACGTGTGTTCACGAGAGAAAGAGAGAGAGAAAGTAGAAATCACCCCCATGGGGGACCATCACACCATAATCCCTTCTCCTTCACTTTCCTCTCAGGATCTCGGGCATGCATGTACATGCACCCCACGTGTTTTTCAGGCTCAAAATGTGTAGTTGGTGGGATCCAGCCACCTTAACCTCCGTTCCACCTGTTGATCCAAAAATTAAATAATGATTTAATCAAACCATAACAGCCACAGTTCAGAGGATGAAGAAATAAAGTAAGGGAGCAGGCAGTAGGGGTGGAAAAAGGAACGCAAGAGAACTAAATCTTCGTTTTTCTGATGACCAAAACGCAAGTTTATTGGAAATATGAAGACCAATGCTAAAACAGTGAGCAGTTGAAAGTAATGGATTTAAAGAAGAAAGGGAGGGTTACCAAGGGGACTTCTGAAGCATTAAAGAACCATCTGACTCTTTAAATAGTATACCTTTATACTTTGGTTTTAAAAGCAAAGTTATTACTTACATATAATCAAATCTCCCATAGCTTCTACTCATACTACTCCAACTACCTTGTGGGGCCATAGAAGAGTAGACATTTCACATGTATGGAACATCAAGTGCATTTGCCAAGAGACATGCTCTCCTATAAAGAACTTTAAAGGGAAGTGAATGTCGGTGGAGAAAGAGTTTGAGGAAGAACAGCGTGTAAACAAGCTATTGGAAGTATCTGATGACATTTTTCCCTCCAGTATTTAGAAAAGGGAGTCAAAAACAATATTTAATGATTCAAAAATCTAAATATCAGAACAAACTGTGAGTAGTTGGGGAGAAACGTGACATTATTACCTTGGAGTTGTAGCTGACTGGCATAGTTCCAGTTCTCCTTGCAGGTACAGACAGGATTACACTCAGCTCCTATACCACCCACATCTGGTGAAATCAGTGATGGCCACTACGTGATTCACTGTGGCCAATAAATTGTGAGCAACAGTGACATATGTCTTTTGAGACAGTTTTAATAGCTAGTGTGTGATATAACCCCGGCTTTTTATCTTCTGTTACAGTCAACAGAAATACTCAAATGGTGGCTATTCTGTCCCCATGAGCACAACAAAAAGAACTTCCAGGTCACAGAATAAGCATGTGACATAAGGAAGAAATAAAGCTTATTGTTTTCAGCCATAAGCTAGTTTACATTCACTGGTATACAAACTATTGGGTTGCCAGAAAAGTCATGACATAGTTTTTCTGTTGTTCTATGCAAAAAGGTGTCATGACTTTTTAAACAATGCAATAGAAATGAGATGATGCTGTAATAACAAAAACCCCAAAATACTGGCTTACAAACCAAGCAGCACAGAAACTGTTATGGGCCTGCTAAAGGCAACATTTACGAGAGAAGGAGCTCAATAAGTGATCCATGTTAAGAAGTGACAAAAAACATGATTAAACTGTTGCTATAATTATCTGGAGGTGACATGTACCTAAGGAATTTATAATGAATATGTACTTAGGTTCATGTAGCTAATTTCATGTAGTTCATGAACTTATCTCTAGCCAGAGAAGAGGTTAGAAGTAGAATATAAGTACTACGAGATGGTTGCTGTTGGTTGTGTTTAACAAGGTGTTAAAAGAAAGATAACTCAGGCCAGCAGATGGCGTGGCAGTTGCAATATTGGACTCGCACATGGTCGACTGTGGTTCGAGTCCAGGATCCAGTGCCTTCAAACTCATGCCAGGCACATGTACAGACATGCCCAAGATCCTGGGAGGAGAACGGAGAAGAAAGGATTGCAGTATGGCCATTATCCCTGAGGAGTGATTTCTAACTTTCTCTCTCAGTGTCTCTATCTCTGTCTCTGGTGAGCACATGCCCCCAAGGCAAAAACCTCTTAAAAAAAAAAATACTCAACAGAAGAACTGCCATCTAAAAAACTAGCTACTCAAAACAACCCATAAGGCCCCCGCTCTTCTAAGGTATGAGGCAAATTGACAACACTGCTCACACATGGAAAGGGGCCACATTCTCCAAAGGCAACTTCAGGTACACCAAGGATAATAAAAATGGAAGGACCTCTCACAGGGCAAAGCCACGGACCATGGAGAACTATGCTCTAGGGCATGTGAAGAACAGGAAGTATTTGTTACTGGTCAACACTAAAAAGATAAATACAGAAATTGGGTATAAATGTTTAGAATCTTTTATAGCAATTTCCACAGTAATGTTGTGTCCATTGAATGTAATAATTTTTAAATTGTAACTTAATGTATTTTATTTTGCTTTCCTCATAATTCATTTTCTTCATTTATATGAAATATTTAAATTACACTGGGCCTGGAAAGGGCCCTCAATTTTTCAGGGCAGTGCTCCTGTCAGCACTGATCAGACGTGGCACATAAAATGATATTTCTGTTTTATCCCTAAACAAAAATGCATTTACAGGTCATTTAAGTGATAGAAAGAGCAAGTATCATGCAACAAATACAAGAGTATAACAAGCACCTAAAGAAAGATCAGTGAGATTATAACAGGAAAGGCTAAAGCTTGCAAATAAAATGCAAAAAGCAGGGCCAACAAGTAGTGTAGTGGCTGAGGTGCTGGATTCCCACATGGCTAATCATGGTTCAAGTCCTGGACCTGGCAGCTTGAAAATCATGCCAGGCGCATGTGCGTGTATGCCCAAAATCCCAAGAGGAGAAAGGAGGAAAAGGGATCGCTAAGTGGCCACCCTCCTGGGGGGTCATTTTTCACTTTCCATCTCTCTGTCTCACTCTGTCTCTCTCCAGCGGAAAGAGCATACACGCTCTCACAAAAAAAGGAAAAAAAAAAAAGAAACAAAGAAAGAAAAAAAAGAGAAAAAAGGGCTAAAAGCAACAAAAGTGTGTTTTGTGTTCTATCAGAATAGTAAGAAGGTCCCCTTAGGGCATCAAGGAGGAAGCATTTCAGGAGAAAATCTTGAAGATTTATCTTATAACTTTAGGCAGGTATAACAGCTGGTAGCTCTCTTTAGTTAGAGTAATCCCATTTGGGACCTGTATACAATATTTGGCAAACAGTTCTACTTCTGCTATACCAATCTGCCCTCTCAGGACAACAATATTCAACCTTTGTGCATTTGGAGACATTTAAACTACACAACATCTGACAAGTTTTTTTTTTTGTTTTTTTGTTTTTTGTTTTTTGGTTTTTTTTAGGAGACCCTTGGTTAGTTTCTCCTTTACAGGCCTTTACAGGCCTATAATTACCTTAACGATTAACCATAAAATTAACAGCTTTCCCTCTCAGGAAAAAGAGGAAATTAACAGCTATAACTGTTAAGTAAATTATATCACGATCTGTGGGCACCATTCTCTAGGAAAAGACATACTTCTTATTTTGCAATAAATGAAGCATATAATGCTCACAAAGTTCAGAATGTAAGAACATTCTGTCAAAAATTAGCTGGCTTATTGTTTAATGCTGCTACTAGGGAACAGAACCTGCTCATTAAAACAGCCTCAAAGAAAATGTTGATTATATCTCAACAGGTTATCATTTAAGACCGAGAGGAGAGTCCCACCAGGTGGTAGAATTTGTAGCATACTGGAAGCTACACAGCCAGCCACAGTTCGAATACCAGTTGGCCTGAAACTATGCCAGCTCAACAGTGCTCAAGATCCTGAGGAGCCAGAGGACTAGGGAGAAGTGATCACTGGGTGATTGGACCCTGTCAAAGGTACCTCTCTCTTTCTGTCATTCACTTGCACACACCTTATTTATTTTGAGGGAAAAAAAAAAGAAGAAGAAGAGGCCAGCAGGTGTAGTGGTTGTGGTGCTGACTCCCACATGGTCAACTGCAATTTGAGGCCCTGGCCTGGTGGCTTGAAAATAATGCCAGGAGCATGTGTGTCAGGAACATGTGCACCCAAAATCCCATAGGAGGGACCAGCAGATAGCAAAATGGTTACATCACTGTACACCCACATAGTTGGCTGTAGTTCAAGTCCTGGATCCAGTGGCTTAAAATTCACATTGGGTGCATATGTATGCGTGCCCAAGATCCCAAGACAAGAATGGAGGAGAAGGGATTGCAGCATGGCCATCCCCCCTAGGGGGTGATTTCTTGTTTTCTGTCTCTGTCTCTCTCTGTCTCTCCAGCTAGCACACATCCTACAGCAAAAATTAAAAATAAACACACACACACACACACACACAAGAGAATGGAGAAGAGACTGCAACACAGTAGTCCCCCCAGGGATGAGTTCTCACTTTCTCTCTGTCTCTCTCTGTCTCTGGCAAGCCCAAGCAACCTATAGCAAAAATTTTTCTTTAGGGAACCAGCAGTTAGCGTAATGGCTATGTCGCTGGATTCCCACGTAGTCGACCGCGGTTCGTGTCCCGGACCCGGTGGCTTAAAACTCACGCCGGGCGCGTGTGCGTGCGTGCCCAAGATCCCGAGAGGAGAATGGAGGAGAAGGGATTGCGGCGTGGCCATCCCCTTGGGGGGTGATTTCTTGCTTTCTGTCTTTCTGTCTCTCTCTGTCTGTCTGGCGAGTCCACGCGCCCTATGGCAAAAACCTCTCAAAAAAAAAAAAAAAAGGCGGAGACTATAAAACATCAACGTCTACTGCAGGGCCCCTTCAAAGCAGACGGCAGGAAAATTCTCTATCTGCTCAACCTGCTGAGCTGATTATTTCATCTGAGGAAAGTCTACCTAACAGGGCCTGGCTTGTACATCTATCAGTGTGTCAACATATGGATAAAGAACCCAAACCACACCAGCATCAGGTGCCTAGGTGAGCTACTATTCTAAAATCTGGAGTATAAAGTAGACTTTAAAGTTCCTTAGGAACCACTTGGGAGGGGGCGGGATGGGGGGGGATAAATGTTATTCTGGACAAAGCATAATACAGCATTTGGGATCTCAGGAATAGTATCATCTACCATATACAGGACTACGGCTTCAAGACATGTGGAATTAGAAGAGCACAGATTATAATCTTTCATTAATTCTTCACTAGATAATCAACTGACAATTCTATAACTGGCTTTCCCCAAAACTTACACCCAGAGCATCCTAATACACTCTTCTTATGGACACTGCCTTACACAACCCCATTCCATTTCCTCGCCCCATAAAGGGCTCACCTGTTTCCTCACGACTCACACAACGAGAAACCCTGAGGAAGATAAAGCCCCTCAGAAGGGTCCAGGTGAGGCCCCACTGGTGCCCCACAGGCGGGGCACTAAATCAGAATCCAAAGCTCGTAAGTACAGCCCTAGCCAGAGGAAGGAGACTGGTCTGAATCCCCATTACTGCAGGCAGGAGCCACAACTGCACGTCTGAAGGATCCAGGCTGCCACCTACCTGCCCGAGACCTGAGAGAAAGAGCTGTGGGCCGGGACCCGGGCAATTCCCGTGGCCGCTCGGCTGACAGTTCTCTCCGCCGCGCGACGGAGGAGGCAAGAGGCGGAACAGCGCACGGCAAGTCCAGCGGCCGGCAGCCGCTTCACCTACCTGCGAGAGCACAGCGCCCCCCCCTCCCCTGCCTGCAGCCGGCACCCGCTCGGAGAAGTCGGCCTCCTGGGCAAAAAACAACCGGGGGGCTCCTCCTTCTCCTCGTGCTCCCTACGTGAGGGACTCTCCAGCCAATGGGAAGCGTAGGGGGCGGAGCGAGAGCCCTCCCAGGTGACAGACGACTACCGAGTCCTCCCGCCGGCGCGAGCTGGCCGGGCAGTTGCTGGGCCAATCAGCAGGGTGGGAGGGGAGTGAAAGGGAGGGAGAAAGCGGGGAAGGCGGGTGCCCAATCACGTCTCGAAACCCTGGAGCGACGGGTCCTGTAGCCAGTGGCCTTCCGAGTGCGGCGCTCGGGAGGCATGCCCGCCCGGGCCAATGGGCGCGAGCCCACGGT